GTTCGCCTCCTTCCACAGACGGTCCGACCCTGGCGGGCTGCACTGGTCTGGAGCCTTCGATCTGCCACCCTGCCCCCTCCCCGGCCTGGCTGACAACTTCTCTCCCTCCAGCAGACGAGTCCTGCTGGGTGCCCACCTCCCCCCAGCCCTGCCCAGCCTGGACCTTGTTCTGTACGGCGTCACTGGCTGCACTGTGTTTCTCTCCCATCTGGGCTCAGCACAGCGTGAATAAACACGGCAAAGGCACTTACAGAACCAAGGTGCCGGGAGCTGCGGGGGACCCACACCTCGCTATACAGCCAAGGAAACCTCGGCCTCCATTAGAGAGGAGAATGGGCCCAGCCCCTCCCACGCCCACCGCCACTGGCCCTGAACCAGCACCTAGGCGCCTACCCGGAGCACCGTCCCACGAGACCTGGGTGAGAGAACGCTTGAATGAACTTGGGGAAACGTCCCACGTGAGCACAGGAATCTGAGCAGGCGGGTGTCACACACGGTGGCTCTGGACACCACGCCTCCCCGCCTGGAAACGGCCTGTGGCCGGCGGGCACCTCTGCACAGTCAGGACCTGGTGGTGGTCGGCTCTTCCACTCAGCCCACCAGGACTGTCCCGCCCTGCCCCATCCAGGGACCAAGAGATCAGAAACCTGGGATCGGCCTTCAAGCTTTTATCGTCTCGTTTACAGGCGAGGAAACTGAGGCCCAGACAGAGGGATGAGGGCCTGGCAGGTTCAGAGCGGGACAGACGCTGGCGCCACCCACAAGCCCCTCCAGCAAGGCCAGCCTCGCCCTCTCCTCCCTAAGACCTCCCACCCCAGGTTCTCCCACCCCGCCAGCAGGTGTGGGACTCACCTGCCCTGAGAAGGAGAAGATTTCACCCCCAGATTCATCCTTTCTCGCCTGCGTTCTAGTCCCCCAAGCCCCAGGTTCCTCATCCAGAAAACAGGCTTAACTCAACTCAGAGGGGTTCAAAGGTCAGGAGTGGGGCAGAGCTCCCATGCAGAGCATCGACTCCCCTGAAGGCAGCCTCAGGCTCCAGCCGCTGCGTAGCAGACACAGCGGACTTCTGACCCACTTCTGTAACTCCTGGAGTCAGCATCACGGGGGAGAAGGAAATTGCTTTGGTAACCAGAGCAAAGAGTCTACAAACGAAAGAATCTGAAAACAAGTCTCTCTATTTCTAAAACAGAAAACAAAGAAGACAAAGCTTCACTGAATTCTAAGGAAAAGGGGATTCCTGAGGACCAGGGTGGTCAAGAGTGGCTTCCTGGGCTTCCCTGGCGGCGCAGTGGTTGAGAGCCCGCCTGCCGATGCAGGGGACACGGGTTCGTGCCCCGGTCCAGGAAGATCCCACATGCCGCGGAGCCGCTGGGCCCGTGAGCCATGGCCGCTGAGCCTGCGCGTCTGGAGCCTGTGCTCCACAACGGGAGAGGCCACAGCAGTGAGGGGGCCGCGTACCGCAATTAAAAAAAAAAAAAAAGTGGCTTCCTGTAGGAGGCAGCTCACACTGGGCCCTAAAGACTGTGCTGGTGGGGCGGAGGGGGGCAGGGGATACCCTCGACCCCTGTAGGGGCCCTGCCACAGAAGGCAGTCCCCTGCAGTTGGGCTCAGAGCAGATGGGCCCCCTTCCCTCTCCATCTTTGAGAAACGAAAGTGTTGGAGGGAGAGACACCGCCCAGAAAGCAGCCCCAGGGACAGGATCTGAGATGCTTGTCACCCCGCCCCCCCCAATCAACACTGCCCCGCAGGACCCTTCCCGCTGGCCTGACTGCTGGTGGGATGGCCACCTGCAAGATGACCACAGATGACCCGTCCTCGGCTCCTGGGCCGACCCCAGCCCCTTCCCTGGTCACGCACACTGAGCCCTTGGGTCCCGTCAACCAGGCATCTGAGTCCTGCGACTTATTCAGTCCTCGGAGGGGCTGCAGGAGGCCGAGTCTCCCCTACAAGGTGGCAGATGAAAGCGAGACCTATCCTCAGCTCCGGGGGCCTCGGAAAGGAACGGCCCCAGGCTCACTGCCAGCCTGAGAGCCTAGCGGGGTGTCACCACCAGGGGGCTGGGAGGGAAGTCTTAGGCCTGGGTTTCTAACAGGGCCCCGCTGTCCCAGGCCTCCGTCTTCTCACTGCCTTCCTGCCAGCCTCACAGGGGTGTTAAGACGGTGATGGTGAAAACACGATGAAGAGGAGGAAGTGTCCCCATTCTAAACGGTGACACGGCAGTGACAATCAGGCTGGTGCAGGTGACGACACTGGCGTGCGGTAGGCGTGTCCACGAGGCCGGGAGCCCATCCATCCCGCAGGCGGAAGCCATGTTGCCGCCCTGCCCGTGTTTCCCTATCAGTGATACAGTTACTGCCTTCTACCCACCTGCCTTTGGGCTACGGTGCTGCTTTTGGGAGGCCCATTAGGTCAAGAGTCGCAGGGCGGGGCCTGTTCCATGGGAATCACAAAGTGTTCTGTCTCTCTAGAAACTTCCAGCTCTGGGTCCTGACCCCCAGGGCTGCAGGGACCACAGGTGAGACGTCGAAGGCCGTCACCCTTCCCGGGGAGGCAGGGTGTGGGGCTGGGGAGTCTCTGCTGTGACGAGGTGGAGGTGGGATTTGGGGAGGCAAGGGGCACCCCAGGATGACCCAAACCCTCACTGCGGCCGCTGCCTGAGCCAGCACAGGCACAGGTCTGACCAGTACCGTCCGACGGCCTCATCCAGCACCAACCACTCACTGGGAAACACCGCAGAACTAACCAACTCTACCAAAGCTCGCCACAGACTGCGGGGCGCTCAGAAGGCGGCAGCACACAGCGAGCTCCCTCAGGGGCCGCCCACGCCCTGACCCGAGAGCCGGCCTCCAGCCTCTCAGGTGTCACTGCGCAGGGCTCCTGGCCGGCTCTACATCACCCCCCCACAAAGCTCAAGAAAAAATGTGGAAGGCCGAGCCCCACACCCAGACACAGAATCCACGCGGGGCACGGCCAGGGTACCAGGGTTTTAATGAACAGACTTCATTTGGGGGACAGTTTTAGATTTACAGGAAAGCCGACCCACGTGCACAAACAATTATTCATCAGGATGTGAAAAGCTCTCAGGTGACTCCAATATAGCCCAGGTGGGAACCCTGAGCTAGTGCCACGTCTGCATCCACAGACCGAGAGACCTACCCTCCCCCCCCGCCCAAATCACCCATTTGGGTTACAGGCAACAGCCCGAAGAACACATATTAATTCTCGGGGTCAACAAACTCTGGCCCTGGGGCTGAGCCTGGCTCCACCACTTGTTCTGCTATAGCTCACAAGCTAGGAGTGGTGTTTACATTTTTTAATGGTTGGAAAAAACACCAGAAGAGCTCGTGATGTGAAAATATTTACTATCCAGCCCATCACAGAAAAAGTCTGCTGACCCTGAACGAGGAGACTGCACCACGTGGGGAGGCGCGCCCTTCAGGAGCGAGCGCCCACCGCGCAGGCCTACCCAATTCCCCTCCTGGCTTCACAGCCTAAGGAGTCTGCAGGTGTGCTGCGGGGCCGTCCGAGGCCCACCTACCCCTCTGAGAAGCTTACCAGCTTCTGAGCTATACGTCCAGCTGGGTCTGTTCTGCTAGCCTGTTAACGTCTACCCTCCAGAGGCACGAGGAGAAAGGCCGACAGGCCCCGCACTCCCCCGAGCACATCCTGGACTGTCCTGTCCGTGCAAGGCTGACTCAGACCCTCCTCCCTGACCTCAATGGTTTTCATTGATTCCTGTCCTGAAAATTTTCCCAAGTCTCACCACCTTTCTCTGCTATAAATCAAAACACAGTCTGTCTGGGAGCCGAGGGCAGGCTGCTCTGGGTCCCACATTCCTAGCCCACTGGAGCCCGCTCCTACCTATAACAGAAGTTGGCAGATTCCACCTGGAGCGATTTCAGAGGCTCTGGAAAGGCTTTCAGCATAAAAACACCAACAACACCCACCACGGTCGGACAAATTTTCACCCAACAGGCAGAATCACACTGCAAACCGTTCCATGTTTCCGCGAATTAATTTAATCAGACCGCTTTCCAGCTCACACCCAGTAGAGCCAGCCCCAGCGGAGGGAGCTGAGGGCCAAGGACTGGCGTGTGAAGGGTGAAATGAGTCTCGGACACTCTGCCCTGGGCACAGGGAGGCCAGGAGGGGTGCAGAGGGGGAGGGCCATGGAGCAACGAAAGCCACAACTACGAGCTTCCGGGAAGGGGCGCTGATGACACGGCAAGCAGCAAGGTTGCGGACCCTCAGCTCTGATACCAAGACCAGAGCCTTCTGCGGGGCATTCCCTCCCCCAGCCCAGGGCACAGCCTGCCCCGCCCCTCTCGCAGCACTAGAGCCCAGCGGAGTTAAGCCAGGTCACCAGGGAGGAACCCCAACCATGTTTTCCAGAGCACGGGCCTGCCCTAGTCCGGCTGTGGGGTGGGGACGGGAAGGGGAAGAGTGAGGGGGGCCGAGCCCAGGGCACAACGACGCTAGAGCCTCCGGAGGCTCCAGATTAAACAGCTCCAGGCAGGAAGCCCGCCTTCTCCCAGATTGGTCAGGAAGTCGTGATGTAAATTTGAGCTTTTTTTTTTTAAACACGAAAGAGAAAAAGAGATTCGTGCCCCCCTCACCGACGCCCCAGCCCCTCCCATAGAGGCCAACATTCCCCTACCCTCGTGTCCCTTCTCTCAGCGCCCAGGGCGTAGGCACGAGCCGCCCTCTCCGGGGGTCGCTCGTTGCCCGCCCCTGTGGGCGCCCGGGTGCCATCTGCCCACCACCCCGCCGCCGCCCTCCCAGCCTGGCGCTGGGACGGGGCCCCGGCCCCTCCGGCGCTCTCATGCTTCTGGAATGCCGGCGCCCAGGGCCGCGCGCGTCCCAGGGAATCTCCGCGCCCGCCCGCCCGCCCGCGCACGGTCCTCGCCCCGCCAGCCTCGCTGGTTGGTCGGGCCGGAAACCGGGAGCGGGGACGCAGACCCCGTCCCAGACCAGAGCCCGCAGCGCACTCCCCAACTCACCGGCCAGGAGCACGAAGGGCAGCAGCAGCCAGTAGAGGACGGCGCCGAGCACGTGCGGCTCCATGCCCGAGGGGCCCGCGGAGCCGGCCCGGAGTCGCTCGGCCGCCGCGGCACTAAAGGGCGGCGCTGGGGAGCCGCGGCCGGCGCATGGCGCACAGGGCGGGTCGCTGCACGTGCCGCGCGCAGCGGCCAGGACCCCGGCTGGTCTGTGGGGACACGAGCGCCTCCGCGCCCTCCTGGTCCTCCTCCTAGGGCCGGGGCCCACCGCACCCCGCCGGTGCCGACGGCTGGGGCCCGCGCTCGCTCCGGTGTCAGCCCTGCCCCGCGGCGGAGCGCAGCGCACGGCTCTCGGTGGCTCGCGGAAGCCGAGCACGGCAGGACGCGGCTCGGCTGCTCCCTCCTCCCTCAGCCCGCCCGCGGGCCTTTATAAGCTCGGCCCCCGCCCTCCCGGCGTGCCCGCCCCCGCGCCTCCCCGACGGCCCGGCACGCCCCGGCAACCCCTCCGCCGCTCCGTGCCGCCCGCGCCCCCCACCAGCCCTCCCGGCCGGGGCCGGCCAGCGGGGACCGGAGACCCCCGTGCGGAGTACTCCCCGAGAAGACCTCCACCCTCAACAGCCTTGGCGCTGCCGCTCGGAGTCGCGTGGGAGCGGGCGGGGGCCGCTTCTCCCCCGGCGGTCCCGGTCCGGAGGGCTCAAGAAAGGGGCCCTATCGCCGGGCTTCCGCGGCAGCACGCCACCCGCATCTGCGCCCCGCACTGCAGGAGCAGCTGGGGCTTTGCTCCCGCGGACGCGGACCCGCAGCGCCCCCTGGGGACCGTGGGGTGGCTCGGAGGCCCCGCCCGCAGGGCCAGGGCCGCGGCCGGGTTGGATGTCGGGCGGGAAGCCCTTGAGGTCCGACGGGGGCTGCGGGCCGCTTCCACCCGCGCCTGCCACCACCGCCAGCTCTGCCCTGATCCCTCTGCCATAGCAGAGAAGCGATAACCGCCCTTGGGCGGCCAGGCCAGGGTCTGAGCCCAGGCTGCGCTGGGCACTTCACCCGGCCACCCCAGTTTGGCCTTCTCCACCCTTGAATTGGGCTGGGAAAGGAGAAAAAAAGAGCCGCTCGGTGTGTAAGGCAGAGCCCACCGAGGGTGACGGGACCCAGGACCGGGTGAGGGCCTGAGGAAGCTGATGGGTGCGGTGGGGACCCAGAGCCCGCACGTGGCACCGCCCGGCTCCAGCTGGCCAACCATCCCAGCTCCAACACAGGCCCAGACCCTCCCACTCTTCAAAAGCCAGAAATGGGGACTTCCATGAAATCTGGTGTTTCAGTGCTGACTGGTTTTCTCTCTGCCTCTCCTTCCTGGAGTCATGTCTCACCCTGGACTTTCTCTAGAGCCCTTGAGACTTGTAGCCTCGGGGTTCCTCCCCAGGGTCAGAGACGAAAGGAGGCTGGGGACATGGGGTTGAGCTCCTAGAGAGTCCCAGGCCCGAACCTGGCCGCCTGAGGCCATCCTTGGCAGGGATTGTGGCCAGGGTCCCCAAGCAGCAGCAGCGTCCAGAGAGATGACCGAGGGACAGCCCACGGCAGCTCTACTGGCTGCCGGCCTTCTGCCCAACAGGCCAGCCCCCTCTCTGAGCCTTGGGGGGCATCTGTGAGATGGGATGGGGGCCAGCTGCAAAGCTGTGAAGATTTAAGAGACCATGTAAAAGTGGTGTGAAGTAACGCACACCCTTGAGGGGTTACCATCGGTCCCCTCGGTTACCCACCACCCTCGTCATTCTTAACCGGGCTGTGGACTGGAGAGAGGAGGGCAGAGGGAGAGGGAGAGACAACAGGCAGAACAGACACAGCATTGGGCTTAGGGCTCCCCCCACCCTGCCCTCTGCCTGGCCTGCCCTCAGGGTGACCAGGGGACAGCAGGGGGCCCCTCTCGGGACACTGATGTCCACCTACACCGGGCCTTGTTTGCATAAAGGGTTTAAATGCAAAAACAACAAAAAGCTTAAAAACCACTCCCTTAAGCTAAGTCCTTCTAAGGCCTAGGATACAAGGTTTTAGACTCTATCCCAAGAGCAGAGTCTGAGGGGGAAGCAGGAGGACTCAGAATGAGGATGAGGGGACAAGAGCCCTGGCAGGCGGCCCCCAGCACCCCCGCAGCTTCGGGGACCTGGCTCACCGTGCTTCCCACCCTCCCGTCTGGCTCCAGAACGAAGAAAGGACTTTCCCTGCAGAGGAGCAGAATGTATGCTTCCAAGAATTGTGAGCAGCGAAAAGACAGGAAAGAAACCAACTGTTCTGGCAAATTGAGGAGCTGTTAGAAGAAATCATCATGTATCCTGCCGTGGAGCGCTTCAAAGCAGTTAGAGACTGAAGCAACTCTCTGTGTATCAACATGGAACAATCCCTAAGACACAGTATTACAACCGGGAAAAGCAGAGGCGTTGGCCCATGCCTGGCCGTCGTGGACACAGTCTCTGGGAGGAACACGCGCCACAGCCAGGCCGGTAGGGGTGGAGCTGCACTATGGGATGGGAGGGGAACAGTGGTTGCTGAAATGCCTTTTTGTGTTGTTTTTTGCTGTATACACGTATCACCTATTCACAAAATACATTTTACAGGAGCACAGTGGGGACAGATTCTCAGCAGAAGAACTTCCCAACCTGCCGACTTGCCGAGTAGGGGGCGGGGGCAGTGCCGGCTGTTCAGTAATGCAGGTTCTAATCCTTTGCAGACAAGGAAACGGGGACCCGAGGGGGGGACGTCATTTGCCAAAGGACAAGCCGGGCCTTAAGACCAGCTTTCCTGATTCCAAGCCCAAAGCCATTTCTGCCCTACAACCCCATGGCTCGGGGTCCTACCACACTTGTTGATTAAAATAGAAATGTGACTACTCTAAAGAACGGTATGGAGGTTCCTTAAAAAACTAAAACTAGAGCTACTATATGATCCAGCAGTCCCACTCCTGGGCACATGTCCGGAGAAAACTGTAATTCAAAAAGACACACGCACCCCAATGTTCACTGCAGCGTTATTCACAATAGCCAGGTCATGGAAGCAACCTAAATGTCTATCGACAGATGAATGGAGAAAGAAGATGTGGCACATATATACAATGGAATTCTTTCCATAAAAAGAATGAAATAATGCCATTTGCAGCAACGTGGATGGACCTAGAGATGATCATACTAAGTGAAGTAAGCCAGACAGAGAGGGACTTCCCTGCTGGTCCAGTGGTTAAGACTCCGCGCTTCCACTGCAGGGGGCACAGGTTCAATCCCTGGCTGGGGAACTAAGGTCCCACATGCCACATGCTACGGACCAAAAAAAAAAAAGAGAGCGAGAGAAAGACAAAGATCATATGATATCACTTATATGTGGAATCTAAAAAAACAAGATACAAGTGAACTTATCTACAAAACAGAAACACACTCACAGACTTTGAAAACAAACTTATGGTTACCAAAGGGGAAATGCGGGGTGCGGGTGGGGATAAATTAGGAGTTTGGTGTTAACGTATACACACATATATATATAATAGATAGTCAACAAGGACCTACTGTTATAGCACAGAGAACTCTACTCAATATTCTGTAATAACCTATATGGGAAAAGAATCTGAAAAAGAATGGCTATATGTCCGTATAACTGCATCACTTAGCTGTACACCTGAAACTAACAACATGGTAAATCAACTATATTCCAATATAAAAGAAATTAAATTAAAAACTAGTAATTTAGTCTTGGAAAAGCAGGCATGGTCAGGTCCCCCATGGAGAGAGGATGGGCCGCGGGAGGGAAGAGTGTCATCAGTGGGGCTGCCGTCACTCAGGTTTAACCTTCCCTGAGGATAACACAGTCACCCTTACCTGTCTCTATACTTACAACTTATTTCTGAGAAGAAAGAACCCAAGTGTCCATGAACAGATGAGTGGATAAACCGAAGGTGGTCCCTCCACACGATGAAACGTTATCTGCCCGTGAAAAGGAAAGTACTGATGCTGCTACAACCTGGATGAGCGCTGAGAACATTCTGCTAAGCAAAAAGAAGTGAGACGCAAATGGGCGAGTATTGCCCGATCCCACTTATATAAAACATCTAGAATAGACAAATTAATAAAACTGGAAGCTAGATTAGAGGCTCCCGGGGCTGAGGGGAGAAGGGAATGGGGAGTTATTACTTAACAGGTACGGACTTTCTTTTCGGGATGATGAGAAAGTTCAGGAAATGGTTACAAATGGTGGTGGTTACACAACAACGTGAATGTACTTAATGCCACTGAATCGCGCACTTAAAATGATAAATTTTATATTATGGGTTTTTACCACTATAAACGACTAACTTGAGAGATTCGCGTGAGGCTAAGCGGATTTCCCCGCAGCCCACACTATGGCTGGTCCTCCTCCGGGGGCCTCCCCAGAGGCACCCACGTTGTCTGTTTTTTGAATATTGTTTTCCTGACACCTGGCCAGAGGCTTGATGAGATCGGGGATTACTTTTTAATTTCCCCAAGTACATTCCCACTGAGTCTCCCCAGCCCCCCTTTCCCGGAAACAGGTCCAGGAATCGATCCAGCGGAGAGCACGCCCAAGTCAGGCTCCTGTCAGCGGTTCCCAGGCCTGGTTCCTTCTGAGGGACCCGTCCTACCGGAGCCCCCTCCCAGCCACCTGCCCACCGGGAATCGGCCGAGTGACCCCGCTTCCTCGCTGCCCGAAGGCCCAGCCCTCGGCCCTGTCCCTGCTCGGGACGTGACTGGACCAGAGTCAGCAGTGGCGCCTGCTTCTGCACTGGCAGCTCCCAGTCGGTCTGGAACCTGCCCCCCTCACGGGCTCACGGGCCGGCCGAGTTGGGAGGCTGGAAATCGGCGCCTACAACGCAGACACGTGCCTACAGGGGCCTGTGGCTGCGAGCCCTTCCCAGGCCGCCACCAGGAACGGCATGGGCACTAAACCCACACTGCGGGGAAAGGTGGCCCGATGAATAACTGGGTTTTCCACGTGAAGCCAACTTCTAGAAGTTTGTCAGTGGTTTCCCTACCCCCATCTTGGCAGCAACACCGGACTCCAGCTGGACGGGATGATGGAGGGACCGGGTCAAAATGATCGGGTCGGGGCTGATGGCCCGGCCCCGGGCGCAGACACTGCCCAGCTGCAGAGACGAACCGGCCCCACACCCAGCGTCCCCTGTGGCTGACAGGCTAGCGGGGCAAGTAGGGTGAGGGGCGTCACAGAGGTGACATGCCTTGCTGAGGCCAACGGCTCTGCCCAGCCCCCCGCCACCTGGCCCGCGCCAGCCTCGAGTGCCTCCCTGGCTCTGCCTGGGAGGGCACGGGAGGGGGACTGAGCCGGCAGCAGTGGGGCCGGGAGGAGGGGAGGGGCGGCAGGGGGCGGAGGCGGGTCGGGGAGTGTCTGAAG